AGCAAATTGCAGTAACAGCGCCACCGTGAGTATAGGTGGCGGATGATTAGATCGTAATCGATTCGATCCGCGGAACAACCTGTTCTTAATTGCAAAATAATTCCCGCTTAACGACGCTTTGATACGGAAAATTTATTATCGCCGCGAATATGTGAACCACCATCGCTGCAAATCGTGGATGCGTGAGTCTCTCTCTCTCACTTTGGGTATATAGGTAGCTGTTTAACCTGGACAGTGTCCAATGAAAAATTAAATCTTCCATTAATATTTTTCAATATTTCATTCGCAAAAGTGTGTTTCGTTAAAGGAAAATTCTCTCCCTCTTTCTACTTGCCTAGGACACTCTGTATATAGTATCCAATAATAAATCTCATCTATTCTCAATACTTTCCAATTTTTAATTCACAAAAGTATCTTTCATTAGAAGAAAATTCTCTCCCTCTTTTTCTCTATCACTTAGGACACTCTGTGTAGGTAACTGTTCGGTCTGCAAAGTGTCCAACAAAAAATTCCATCTATTCTCAATATTTTCCAATATTTATTTCACAAAAGTATCTTTCATTAGAAGAAAATTCTCTCTCCCTTGCTCTCGGTCTCTCGCTGTTTGACAAGAGAAGAATGCGCGCGGCACGGGCGCACCTCGTCCATGACCAATAAAATAGCCGCGTGGAATGAATATCCGCCGAAATGGTCGCGCGTTCCCTCGTCTAGCGCCAATAATAATGCAATCTATCTTGCGAGCTGACTTGCCTGTTAAAATCAATCGAGGAGCACGCGGAGTCTTAATGACGCTAGTACGGGAATGTTCGATGCATACTTAGTGCTTGAGGGTTAAAAAGTTCGAAATACCAATGATACCAGTAGCAAGCAAGATGCGTGTACAAGATAGGTATTTCATGTGTTTTTAATAATAATTAATTCAACACTTAGAATGTAACAGTATATTTACTTCAACGTGTTCTACTTTCAAGCATGTATTTAATACGAAGCACACTGTGGGTAGCATTAATATTTTTTTCTTTTGTTTACTACTATCATGTGCATAATTTTCCTAATATAATTACACGATACAATTACACCGACAAATAAGTCGAAGCTATTTCTGCTTTCCTAACGACATCCCATTTACAATACCTCAGAAACCATTTATGACAATCGAAATAACAATTTCTTGTTACTATCGCGTTCATAATTTTCCTAATACACTTACACAATACAATTACATCGATAAATAAAACGAAGCTATTTGTTTTCCTAACGACTCCCCATTTACAATACCTCAGAAATGATGTTACCATTTGTAACAATCGAAATAGCATAATTTATTTTTTCTTCACTATTGTCGTGTCCATAATTTCCCCGGCACACTTACGCGATACAATTAAAATGATAAATAAAACGAGGCAATTTCTCTGTTCCTAATGACCTCCAATTTGCAACACCTGAGACATTCGTCAGAATGATTGAATATCGTTGCATTTAACGTCCCGTTTAATATGATCCGTAGAGCTTGAACGACAATAGCCCATCGGGCTTTATGTAATTGTCTAGCATCTTGCCAGCAACTCGTACACACCTATAACGCGCGTTACACGAGCTACCTCGTGACAAGGTAGCTAGCGCTAACAGCCACTCACCGTAGAATCGCTAATGTGTAGGTAAATTGTTTAGCCGAACAAACAAGTCTGCCACAGCCTGTATATCGAACACGATATACACCTCGAATTGCTCTTTCTCTCATTCTGTCTCTTCGTTTTTCCACATCGTTGTCTCCAGCTCTATGATTATCGATCTAATTAACCCTCGTGAACCCGGCTACCATTCTTGTCCCATAGAGGTGTATCGTTGAAACGAGCTTCGGCAATTGTCGAACGGAAAGAACGTCAGAATGAATTACGCGACATAATTCGACATGGTAAATGTATTTGTAACAATTAGATATTTCTTCGTTTTTATCGACACGTGACACGGATTTTGGTCAAGGCGCGACGAAAATAGTTGTGTCGGTAACATGAATTAATTTAAATTTTAAGTTCGTGTCGGAATGTACTCTGAGTAGGGTGGGCGTGAAATTAATTGAATGTGTCTACGTTCTTACAGTAGTATATGTTATTCAAAGTCTATATCCGCGTTATCTGAGCGTCGTCCGCAAAAGTATGCTTGGAGGGTCTCGCGAAGAGTGAGGACGCGTCGTCCTGCCCTACGCGAACAGGCCCAGGGAGAAACCCAAAGGGGCGAGTCGTCCCCACCGAGCGCGCTGGGCCTGGCTTCAAGATGCTCGCTTCACCGTCTTCGGGACGGATTTTCTCATATTCGTTATTGAAATGTAATTAACCCTTTCATTGGAGCCTGTCGGCGCTTTGAAAATTTTCTCGGATTGTGCTGTTTTGGTGAACCTTTGGTACACTTTCGTGGTAATTCAATACTTCAATTTTGCTAGAAATTCAATCCTTCGAGTATTCTCGCTTTAATTGAAAAATGGTAATTTTTTAAAATTTTCAAACGCCAAAACGGAAGATTCTGCCGAAATTTTCTTATTTAATACAGTATTGAAACAGTAAACACCTACATAGGAGTTAACGAAAGACAAGAAAATCTCTCAAGAGTAAATTAGTTTATTTTTAGACTATGCTACTTAAGCGTGTCGAGTGTACCCACTCGAGCGATGCAGAAAGATTCGTTATCGCTGTAGATTCAGAAAACCCGAAAAACCGATAAAAAGGATGCGACAAATACCAAAGAAAGCTTCTGTTTTTCACAAAGAATATCAAATCCCTACTTTCTTTATCTCAACTTCGTTAAACAATTAAACTACAGCAGCATGTATCGCAAAAACGACGCGAAATATCAGAAAAAAATTTCTCCACAAATGCACGCAAGTGTATTCCGTGGAACTGTCGGACAGAACTATTTATCGATTCGACGGATGCACACTTTTGTGAATGCGCGACGTGTCTCTCCCCCACCGCCGGTTTCCAGCATGCCTCGCATTCTATTCTAATCGGAACGGGGAAGAATAGGCGGCGGCAGCAGGCACCGCGATGACCATGAAGAAGAAGAAGAAGAAGAAGAGAAGGAAGAAAAGACCCATAGGTTACCGCGGAATTTATTTCAACGATAATCGTAAGGGACACCCGCGCTCTTTCTCTCTCTTTCTCTCTTACACAGGTAGGATACGGGAACGCGGAAGTGCGTACACGAGGCACGTTCAACGCGTAGGTTTGTACAGGCCGTGAACGTGCATAAGCCTGTGGCTCCGCAAGAAGCGCTGCGTCTTGCAAACAACGCGTTCTCTATGATAGCACGCAGGAAACGCTTGTCGCCGGTACCGTAAACACTGTCACAGACCTATACCGAGGAGATCCGATATCTGTGGGTACATATCGTTTAATATTTGCCGTATACTTTATAACTGTAATCTTTATAGTGGTAAACGCAACTTCGTACCCAATAATACTCTGTCTTTCATCACGCGCGAGCGTAACATTTGCGGGAAAGCCAGCTCCGCGGTAACGGGACGATATGTAACGTGGGGAGTGTGTTAAAAATGTCTGAGAGGAATTTATGGTTGTTGGAATTGAAACGATAGAACGGATATACTTATCTTGGATTGAATTGGTTTTATGTGGAGGAAATAATTAGAACGTGTTGTTTTTGCCTCTGAGCACGTAGATAAGAGTGATACTGTCAGTTCGAAGTACAAGTAAATTCTCTACAAGTGTCAGTCAGTTTGGATTCTACAAGTGTCAGTATAGATGGTCCTACGCCTATGTTATCTCGCTCGCTGTCAGTCAAGCGTGTAACGCTACACCAGTTGGTTTCCTTTACGAGATTTCACGGCTCGACAATTCATAATTGGAAAATATAATTTCTTTAATTTTACTTTTTGTCATCTGAAATTTTTTTAACATGGTGAGATTTTTCTGATGAAAATGAGATCAAGTCTCCTAGAGGAGACAAAAGGAATAAAAATGAGTTTTCTACGCGTTTCAGTCGCGTGTGCACAGGTAGAGAGATTTCTTTAAGAATAACCTTAAGCGTCCGGTGCTAGGGGAACTCCCCCTATACTATTTAACGAGAACAATGTTACAATGCAAAATAGGGCAGTTTTGACCATTTTTTGAAAGTAAACAATGTTTTATTAGAGACCCTCGAAACCCAAGAGACTATTAATATAATTTCTTTAATTTTACTTTTTTTCATCTGAAATTTTTTTTAACATGGTGAGATTTTTCTGATGAAAATGAGATCAAGCACGATATAATTGAACATCCAGCAAACCGACGAGACATCAGGAACAATAGTAATGATTTTCAGAATACACACGCGTTTTACAAAGATATGCAGATAAAAGTACACTAAATCACGAACTAGTTACATAATAACACATACGAAATGTTACACCTAGTACATAAGATTGTACTAGATTCGGAAAAAATTTATTCCCGAATTACAGTCACGCGATAATACATTCCTATCGATAAGCGCGACTATGTATACACCAGGCTGGTTAAGCGGGTATTATTAAAAAGCCCGAAGACAAAGATAAAAATAGGTGAACTCTCTCGCATTTGTCACTCTTATCTGCCACTTACGTCGCTCACTCAAATCCCCGCTCGTCTTTCGCATCATTCTTTTTCCTCGGCGAAATTGAACACCCGTCGCAAAATTTCACTCTCAAATATCCACCAATTACCATTAACCAGTGAAACTCCAGACCGCGGCAAAAGTCAGCGTGAGACATCACGCTGAATCGATGATAACGAAGTCGCGGCATTACACGTGGTGAACAAATATTATCAACGATCGCGCGTTGATAAGCGTCATTCGTGCGTATCGCTTCAGCGTGGGTGAAGTATACGCAGCAGACGAATCGACACTACGATAAACAGTGAACAAAGTGACTATATTGTTCGGTGTACGAAGAACGAGTGAACAACGTGTGATCGATTCGGTGTCCGCTTGAGTAGCGTCCGAATTTAACGAAGAAGAAGAAGAAGAATCTTAATCACGATCGAGAGACAGATGGCGAACGCTATTGTTCGAGTCGTTATATAAACGACGTCATCGGTGTTAAGTAGTACATGAAACGATGATTGAGACAACTGAGCGATACATCGAATAAATAAACTGGCGACGATCGGTTGCAACGCGTCTGGTTGAGCAGCATCAGTCGAATCTAAGCAGACGCCATCGTGGTTAAAGTGGAGAACATGGCTACGCTGGTAGCCGCGGATTACGTGGTGATCGTAATAACGATGATCATTAGCTCTGGAATCGGTGTGTATTACTGGCTCTCTGGTGGAAAACAGAAGTCGACAGAGGTAAAGTCTCTCCACTTTTAACGTCCGATAATTTCAACTTGTACGACAAGTTACGAAGACGCCTTCCTCCTCTCCTCTGCTATTCGACCGGTAGACGATCGATGGAGGAAAATGCAAAGTAATGGTAAATGTAGTGTAATTTTCGATACCGTCCACTTGTTCGGTTACAGGAGTATTTCATGGCAGACAGATCGATGCGAGTGGCACCGGTCGCGATAGGCTTAACGGTTTCGTACCTATCCGCGGTCAGTTTGCTGGGAGTGAGCTCAGAAAATTACGTTTATGGTACCCAGTACGCTGTGATCAATATCGCCTACGGGCTCGCTACTCCGATCGCTACTTACTTCTACATACCGGTGTTTTTCAAGCTCGGAGCGACCAGCTCTTTCGAGGTGAGTCCATGAAACAGGGGAAATTTCGACTTTATTGAAAAGGTCCGTATTGGATTAATGGGTTAAAATAAACGGTGTTCACTGCGAATTCTCTTAAACGTATTTCATTTTCTTTGGCGCGGAAGGACGTCTTAACGCTTTGAAAATCGCAGTCGAAGCGAAGGAAAACAAAAGTCTGTTGCGCATTTAAGGGGGTCTTCTAGTGTGACGGCCGTTTTTTTAGGCCTTTCTTACAATTTTTTTCGCAATTTCCACAAATTGCAATTTTTCCAAAAAAATTTCACACGCGTCATCCAGTATACTAATCCTTCTAACTTCGCAAAAAAACTCAAGTCGTCAAGTCCAATTTTAAAAAAGTTATACTGTTCTAAAGGCAAATTGCAATTTTTCCAAAAAAATTTCACACGCGTCATCCAGTATACTAATCCTTCTAACTTCTCAAAAAAACTCAAGTCGTCAAGTCCAATTTTAAAAAAGTTATACTGTTCTAAAGAGTGTCCGAATATTAGTAAGAGTCACCGTATATGCCTCCCCTAATCGTCAGGATATCGCGTAAAGACGAAACGTGTCGAGTAAGAAAGAAATTTTCGTACGATTCTAGTATTTGGAGAAACGGTTCGGAAGCATGGCAAGGATGACGACGAGCTTCGCTTTTATGCTCCAGCTGCTTCTGTACAGCGGCGTGGTGTTGTATGCGCCGGCACTCGCGCTCGAAGCCACCACAGGTATCTCGACGACCGCAAGCGTAATCGGGATAGGATTGGTCTGCACGTTTTATTCGACGATCGGCGGTATTAAGGCAGTCCTCATTACCGACGTATTTCAGAGCTTGCTGATGTTGATAGCCGTTATCCTGGTGATCGTCACAGCGGCTCTGGATGTCGGGGGTCTCGATCGAATATGGGAGATCGCTCGCGAAGGATCGCGGGTCGAATTTGATAGGTGAGTGTTGCGTCGATCGTTTTCAATCGACGTAAGTGACGATAACCATAATGTAACAACGTGATTCGGTGTTCCTTTGGAAACTTACGATTCACAGGGATCCTTCGACTATCGATGTTACAGTAGTTTCTTTCAAGCTCTCGGTTTTCGTAATGTACGAGGGATTAATTAACTGTAAGATGAATACGTTGTTCGATCACTGGGATGACATTTTGTCAGACTGTGCAGTCAGCGTTCAAAAGCAGCTTGCACAGGATCGATGATATTATTGATCGTGTGCGATCGATACTGAGATTGAAAAATTCGTCAACGAATTTCTAGATAATTTAACCCTAATTCGTTCTTCCGTTCGACCATACACCTAAGGGGTTAGGACACAGTGATATTTTGAAAAAATCGAAATTTTTCTTTTGTCTTAATTAGCAGTTTCAAGTCTTGAGAACAGAATGCAAAAGGTTTTACGTGGATTCCAGGCTTCGATACAAATTATTTCTCTAAGTACCGTTTCGAGAGTGAATTCGTATACCTGCGTGCCGTGACGCACCGAGTAAACTTTAAACGCGTTTTCCTCGGAATTGCGTTTTTCAAAACGGTGTACAAGATATCTCGAGTTCTACCTCAGCAATTACATAAAAATTTTAGTTATCTTTACTATAATATCTATTAGGCGTTGACGGTCGATTTTTCTACATTTTCCCATTATTTTGTGAAATATAAATAAAAAAGTAAGAAACTTTTTACCGAAATTCAATCGTTAAATTTGAAATATCTGCCATTTTGTTAATTTTCACAAAAATTGAAATGCGGGATCGTCAATGCCTAGAGAATATATCGCAGTTTGTGACAGTTTTGGGATTTTGGATATATGTAGTTAATTCGATTTGTAGGAATCTTGTACAGAAGTTGGCCATCTGGAAGAAAAGATATTCCGAGCGAAGCCGACGAAAGGCATAAGAACGAATTATTTTTTTAAATATTACAAGCATTTTTTTATAGTTCATACTCATTCACTTGTTACTGTGTCCTAACCCCTTACGATCTTTGGGTAAAAAAAGACCCAAAACAGACGCCATGTGAACCTAAATAATAAACTTGTAATATAATATTAAAAGAACGTAAAACTTGATAACAGCAAAAGTCGTTAAAAAAAAAAAAAATAAGACGATGGGTCAAAAATGACCCGAAGACCGTAGTAGGGTTAAAATCTTCGTCAAATTGGTTCGATCGATAATTGTTGACCGCGGTCGCTAAATGGTTAATCAACGAAAACCTCGGACATACTGTTCTTTCACTACTGACCAAATTTCCAGCGAAATCTACCGGTGTGTTGCTAACAATATTAAAACAACCGGCAAATTATCATCCAAAGCTCCGGCTTACTACTATTCATCAGCCATTACGACGTTATTACGCTTTGTCCAAAGCATGAAAAATTATCAGAGCATGGTTCTTTAACAATTCGTTATACATAAATACGAACCGTTACGTTGTATAACACCGATGTACAACAGTGTGCTAGCAACAGTTTAAATCGATTTTCCCTCCGCTATTATATTGTAAATTGCACACGAGCGTGATGCGGTTAACACACTTTCAAATAGCTTGCCGAGCATGAAACATTTATTTTACGAGGAATCCGAGAACCGTATCGATGCTGACAATGGTATGTGCATTCATTCAGCACTTCAATGGACCCAACGGTGCGACACACCTGGTGGAGCTTGACATTTGGCGGTTTCTTCACCTACCTCTCCTTGTACGGCAGCAACCAAGTTCAAGTTCAGAGAATGTTAACCATCAAGTGAGTATCCACTCTGTGCCTTTCTACCCGATACGCCTTACCCGTATAACTCGCGATATCGCGAATTATTACCATCCGTCGATGTTCCATAATTAATCGACGAGCATATATCGACGTCTACTCTATCGTCTCTCGGAGAAAATTCCACCTCTGTTGGAACGCGTCGAGAAATTCTGTCCCGATATATACACTCTCGTTGCATTAGTCGCTCGAGACATTTATAGCGAAATACGGAGAAAGTGTTTTGTCAAATTGACAATTTCACTTTCGTTAACATGGAGGTAAATTAGTATAGTTAAAATTTCGGTTGAAAGGATCGAACGAAAGATTTCTAAGTGGAGATCCTTTTCAGTGATTTGAAATTCAAGTTCGTTTTTTTTTAACCCTTTATAGCCCGATGTTTCTTCGTTCACAGGAGGAAAAATTAGAGTTGATTAGAATTTTACATTTCAATGGGAGAAGAGTCGTATCAATAATATAACAGTAAACAAATGAAACGAGATTTATAAAATATAGACACACATGGTTGTAACCTCCAAGTCGCATGGCATTATAAAGGGTTAACTGTTCATTTTCTTCAGCGTTAAACCGAATATGTAGTTAACAAGATATTTTCGATTCTTAAGAGCTTTCTTCGAACATCAAGTTGGAAGATTCATTATCGTTAAATTTAAAAAATTTGTTAAATTAAATTATCATTGAAACGATTTTAACGATATCGCAATGTTTGTACTTAATTGTACAATAAGAACACGTTTAGTTTTTTCGTTCTAACACTCACATTTATGCTACATTTACGCAGAGCGTAATAAATTTGGAACAAAGCTTTTGAAACACCCTGTAGACTATAAATTCGATACATCCAGCTCGTAATTCAACAAGCCTCCAACCTACTGTTCCACTAATCCATTTCATAGTAGCAAAAACACCATTAAAACAAACAAACAAGTATCGTAGAATCGAACGATCTTTCTTCCCTTCCATCTTCGAATCGTAAATTAACGTTCGATAGATCGACGATGCCCCAGCCTCCGAATGAAATCTCTAGATAGCACGAATATTGCGTATCCCGGGTCGAGAGCATTGTATTCATCTCGGGGCGCATTATCATGATTCTCTTCTCCGTAGCGTGACGACGGAAAGACGGAGGAATTTTCCTTGGACTTTATCCGAGCCAGGCATCTTGCGTGCATACCGCCGGTAGCGATCGTTCGATAAATCGTGTTGGCTGCGCCGCGATTCGACTTAATATTAGGCGTACCAATGAATAATTAACTATTTTTTTTTTCTTCTTTTCTTTTCAACAACATGGAAATGTGCTTTAAATTCAACATGTACGAACGCTTCCTTTTGTTTATCTACCACTGACGCGAACACATCGTTAAATTCTATACGGAATTTCGTTTCGTTAACGTGACTTTTGAAAAGTGATCGAGATCGATGAGTGACCTAAGATAGCGACCGATGAATGGCTTGGATATTTCGTTAGATATTAACACTTTATGGACCATTGTATGCGCCGAGCGAAAGTAATCGATTGGATAGAAATAGAGATGAAATTTAAGTGTAACTTAGAAAACGATGATTAACCCTTTCGATACGGCAGATTTGGTCGATCGTACACTTTACCGACAGAGCGTAAATATGGTTATTTTCACAATTCTTAACCCTTTCGCTGCGGACAGATTTTGATACGTAACGTGAACTGCAGATGGTAGATATTCAATCACGGCTGCAAAATTTTCTTTCTTTGGCCGTATCGTTTCGAAATTTGTTGTATTAAAATAATGCGAAAGTGCGCTAAAGATAAAATTAAGAATTAGGTTAAGGAGGAAGTGCTCCGAAAGGCGCGAAAAGTACAGTGCGAGGAAATTTTCAAAGCTCCTATAAGTATCAACAGCAATAATTCGATTACCCTGGAGATATCTATGCTGTGCTCGAAATTTTTATGGGTGACTATGGTCACCTTTAGTATACCAGTGAGCGTTCAACGTTCAGTTGCTGTAATCACTTTTAGTATAGAACAGGTCGATTAATTTCCTCAGTAAACAAATACACAATAACACAACAATTGAATCTAACCAGAAATATTAGGTTGGTAATTAAGTTCGCGACCTTGACATTCTTTCGAACAAAATTATATCAAAATTCAGATAGAAATTCACGTATAAAATTATTATAAAATTAAGAGCTTTCGAATGAAATAGGGGAGAGTCGTGCAGTACCGGCTATTCTAAGTTTTTGCACTATAACTTGGGCTGATGTTGGTAAAAATGAAATTTCAAAAAAGTAATTTGTAGTACAAAAAGTGCTTAATAAAAGGGGACAAATGATTTTTCTTAAATTTTCTCATAAGGATAAATAATTGGTAGAAATAAAAAAAAGTTGCAATTTGCAGCGAACGAAAAATCGTCGTACAGTACCGGCCAAGCTACTTAGTTGGTAGATTTGAAGGTCTAAGTAATAAATGATGTTAGTAAAAATCGTTTAAAAATAGAATAGAACTTTTATTTAGGCACGTCTGTAAATATCACAGGTAAAGTGATCGATATTTTCTTGATCCGTACACTCCACGTGAGTCCAACCATTGCAGCTATGAAAAATAGCTTTTGTCGTACGGAACAACCAGCGTAAACGTTAAACGTCTCAGAACTCTGGTAATACTGAAGAAAAAAGAACGTCGCCGGAATACGTTACTCAGGGTTATAGTATTTATTTGTTTTTCCATCGATAGTGCAGTCAAGTAACAGTATAAGCGAGATCTAGCTTTGGCCGGTACTGCACGATATAGATCCCCTATATAGATCACTTAAAATAATCAAGGAATACGTTTATTACGAATAAAAAAACATAAGTTAGCGAATTTAGTTGCCAACCCAATAGATAGTGTATTATTTATCGGTAGATCTAATAACAATCTCACATGTGAAATCTTAATTGTCGCTCTTACAACGCAGAAAAGTACAAGGTGCACAGGCAGCCCTTTGGTGGAGCTGGCCATTGGCCTCGTTGATGTCATTGGGCCTGTGTTACTCGGGACTGGCGATATACGCGAAATATCGCAACTGCGACCCCCTTAAGAGCGGAAGGATCGGCTCGTACGATCAATTAATGCCGCTTTACGTGATGGACATGCTCTCCGCGTATCCAGGTGTGCCCGGGCTTTTTATAGCCGGCATCTTCAGCGCTGGCCTCAGCACCATCTCCGCCACGGTGAATTCCTTGGCCGCCGTTATACTCGAAGATTTTATCAAGCCAATATGCAGTCTTAGGTGAGCCTCGTAAAATCGCGAAACGAACCGAATTTACGACGAGTTCGTTAATTATACTTTTAACTTGGATATTACAGTTGCGAGAGGAAAAGGAAATGATACTATTTTAATTTTCAGCCATTTCAGAATTTTTTAGATACAGTCGACAGGGATCGTTTTGTGCATCTAGGAGTTAGATTGTGACAATGATGCTTCTTTTGGGTATTTTTCATATTTAATTGAAGGTCTCATTTGTGCTTTTACTGCAACTAATGATACTTTGTGTAACTCTGTTTGAATTTTTTGAACAGTTGTTCTTGTTTATTTACTGTGTTACTTTTGTACATTTTGGGGCACCTACAATTACCTAATCTTAGGGTCAGACTATTTTTCACTGATTTTGTGTAAGAAAAATCGGCTGGATTGATGGGGTCGGATTATGCCAAGAATTTTCCACATCTATGGCTTACTGACTGTGGACAATGAAAATCATTTCTTCTGAAATAAAAGCCAAATTACTGTATCAAAAATTGGAATCCCTTCCAAAATATACAGAAAAGTATCCAAAAAGTGGCCAAGAAGTTTCCAAATCTGCGACCTACTAAATTATTCTTAAAAAATTATTTCTTTTGAAACGAAAGCCAAAAGACTGTGTCAAAAATTAGAATCGTTTCCAAAATCCACAGAAAAATATCAAAAAAAAGTGGCACAATCACACTCCAGATGACAGTCTAACATCTTTTCCCATTTACAATTCACCAGTCGCGTAAATTTAGAACAAGAGTGAACTTTTATCACATCAAATCACGTTACAAACAACGCAAATATTCTAAAAAACGAAAGAGAAAAATTGATCGAAAGAGGAATGAATTTTTGAAAATGGAGGATGCGTAAAATGATTCCAGGAACAAAGAGATCACCGCGACAGGATCGGTCGTTCTTAGCAAGATCCTGGCCTTCGTAGTTGGCTTGGCCTGCATAGCACTGGCGTTTATGGCACGCTACCTTGGCGGGCTACTTCAAGCAGCTCTGACGATTTTCGGAGTGGTCGGTGGACCAGTGTTGGGCGCGTACACTCTCGGCATGTTCACGAGATTAGGCAATCAACGTGGTATGATCATCGGCCTGTTGACTAGTCTCGTCTTTTCACTGTGGACTGGATTCGGTCAACCTAAACCACCGATTCCGAATAAAGTGAACGTCAAAGCGATGAACTGTAGCAATCTAGCTGGCTACTACGATCACGGGGAATCGTTGGATTTGCATCTGGAATACCAGTAAGGAATTCATCTTGCTATTCAACGATTATGCGCGTTTCCAAGCTTCGTTCCTTGCATATTTTCCAGGAGATGCGAATGCTTGTCGAGTCTCGTCGTTTAGAATCTTTTGCGATGACTGTGTATACGTCGAATTTCTTGCACACTTCGATGTAGGAAGTTTGATTCTTAGATCTTCATGAAATTTTCATCTATACATACGAAACTGTTTAATTTAACTAATTTCTCTTCTGGATCTCTTTGAATTTCAATTCTGCAATAATGGTCTCTTCGATTATCAGAACCGAGCGAAATTTCTTAGATCAACCTCGTGAAATTATTAATCATCATAATAATCGAAATATTGATCATCTTCTGTACCTCAAAACCACGCAAAATTTCTTAGAATAATCTCCTGAAAATCATGACCATCTCCTATACCTAAAAATCATTCAAAATTCCGTAGATCAATCTCGTGAAGGTCTTTATTATCGTAATAGTCGAAATACTGATCATTTCCTATACCTCAAAACCGCGCAAAATTCCTTAGATCAATCTCGTGAAAATCTTGATCATCGTAATCAAAATATTAATTATCTCCTGCACCTCAAAATCACGAAAAATTCCTTAGATCAATCTCTTGAAAATCTTGATCATCATAATCAAAATATTGATTATCTCCTGCACCTCAAAATCACGCAAAATTCCTTAGATCAATCTCCTGAAAATCTTGATCATCGTAACAATCAAAATATTGATCATCTATAAGTCAAAACCACGCAAAATTCCTTAGATCAATCTCCTGAAAATCTTGATCATCCTCACGATCAAAATATCGATCAAAAATCTCCTATACCTCAAAATCGCGAAAAATTGCTTAAGTACCGAAAATCTCTTAAATAACACATCAGCTACGGTATATTAATTTAATACAAATGGTAGCAACGGTTGGTGGCAACCTACTATATACAGGTAGTAGGTTATATTCACATCATTCCGTACAAACTACTCTAGCCGCCTCTAATGTCTTTTTAATCATAAAGTTAATACCCGTTCCACGTAGCACAGTTTAGCGTAATTGGTTTCTAAGAGGCAATAAATTACGCCTGTTTTTGTCCTATTACAGGCAGAATAACAGTGACTCATACTTCTATCTGTACCGGATTTCGTACATGTGGTACTGTCCCCTGGGTAGTGCCATCAGTTTCTTGGTGGGTTACATCGCCAGCTGGATCACGAATTTAATCCTCGGCGAAAAAGCACAGGAAGTCGATCCAGATCTTTTCACACCGATCCTAGCGACGAGAATGCGACAAAGACGAATAAAAGAGTCGAACACGTTTCACAGTACAGTGGTATTGGATACGATCTCTTGATATACCTCCACTCAACAGATGATGTAACGAAGGAGTTTTTCTTTTTCTTTCTTTCTTCTTTTTATACCTGCGCAAAATTTCACAGTGACGAACGGATAATCAAACTATTACGTTACGATTTAACGATTACACGAGGCTCGATCTCAGGTTACAACTACAATATTGCCCCATCGTCGTATCGTTACCAAAATCACCGCACAGAAATTCAACGTTTCGCACGTAAAGGGAGCGAGAGCCGAGCTATCGATCGTTTATTTGCCACGACTCTAGGCCTCTTCCGTCGACTTGGAGAACTCTCGTAATTGGCCTTCACCTAAAAACAAGCGGAGCGGAGTCCACGTGTCGCGTGAAACACCCAGAGCGTTACTATTAGGTGTTTTAACGTGAAATCTTCTCAGATACTGTGGAAGAGGAGGAAGTGACGCTAACTGTTTTACACAATTGTACTTGGAAATTTTTATTATAATTCTAGAACACAATTTTCTTCCTTATTTGTCCATTTTTTTTTTTTTTCTAAACTCCTGCACTGACCTATATATAAGAGAATTTATCTACTATTCTCTAAAATTTCACTATCTCGTGTGAAATGAACAGCTGTGATTAACCTCCCACGTGTAACAAATCCGAATTTCCACAAATGAACGATACAGAATGACTTTCAAATGATTTTTCCACTGAAATCTGTCTAGCGCTAATTATCGCTAGATAAGAACGTTCGTGAAGAGGTTCTCGGGCTACGTGCCCGATCGAACCTCGGATTTCGGGCGTGATTCGCTCGAAATCGTGTCCGATATTGGTCACGTTCGGTTCGTCTCGGAATTTCGAGTCCGAGCGACCGCTTCTTCTCGTCCAGTTGGACGAGGAGCAGACGTAAACAGCGCACGGGCCACGGGTGTGCTGAACGTTTACCGAAACGTTCGCAAATCACGATGGAATGCCGTCAGACTGGTGTTCCCGTGCGCGGCACACGGTGACATACAGAACGAAGCAACGACCCGTGCACTGTGCAGCGCTTACGTAAGGAAATAACGCCGCCAAGGGGGAGAGAAAGAGAGGCCACCAGAGTATGGACCACCTTCGTTTCGACTACTAACAGGCCTCACCGCTGTTTTGAATATCCGCCGGAGAGACTTTCGTTGAACTTTTGAAATGGAGCCTTTACGAGCAGCCGCCGCCATCCGCGTTGAGCAACCAACACTGTCTCTCCTCTCGGCTCGAGTAATTGCGTTACGCAATTCGCGCATCTCGTCGACGCTAATTCAGAGAAGAGCATCGTCGTGGATTACGCAAGGGACAAAATTGTTCAGATTATTTCGAACTTTTTGTTTAGGATTCATCTTTTTTTCTTTTGGTTAGGTTATGTTGGTTAGGTTAGGTATTGGTTGCTTTGACACTGCGCTGAATGAGAAAGTGTCTCCTCTTAATTTCTGGGTTAAACTTGGATTTAGGTTTGTCGTGTGTTAACTATATTTTATGCCATGTGTGTTACAGGTTAATTAGGTTAGGTTTGCATAGTCCTGCACAGGTTGGGTTAAGTTTTATGGGTTTTACAGACTAGTTAGGTTAGGTTTCTATAGCCTATTTTTGTATAGAATGCAGATGGTTAATGAAGTATGAAAATTCAAGTGCAAATCTTATAATAAATAATCTCGATGTTAGTTACAATATTTAAGGTTAGGTTGGGTTAAGTTTTTTCGGTTTTACAGACTAGTTAGGTTAGGTTTCTATAGCCTATTTTTGTATAGAATGCAGATGGTTAATGAAGTATGAAAATTCAAGTACAAACACTAATATTTGAAAATGAATAGTCGCGATATTAATTACAATATTCAAGGTTAGGTTAAGTTTGCATAGTCCGTTTTTGCAAAGAATGCGGGTAGTTAATAGAATAAGGAAATTTCAGTGCGTAAGGTAAAATCATAAAATAAATAACCTCGATATTAGTTCAAATATTCCGTGTCTAAATACCTGTCTGGTATAACCACAGACACTGGCTCAAATGTTAATCGATCTTACGAAGGAGGCAACCACAATTATTTTATGAACTCTTCGCTATGCACCGCAGCTACCACCATCGTCCAGCTTCGAGCAACATTCCCCCACAGTACGCCTATGAATGAGGAACGACCGGTATTTTCCGCCGTAAACTTAGAAATTTCCTCTAATTGAGCTCGTAAAGAATCCAGTTAATTTTTCCGTTCGTTTTTTTTTTTTTTTATCCGTCGTGGACTCGAAGTTCTGGTAATAGACTGCTCTCCGCGGGAGAGATTAACATCGGAGAACAACAGGAGTCGGAAAACGCTACCGGGAGTCGCAACGAAATTGCTCGAGTATCCATGAGCCAACGGTATTTCATGTACTATGCGTGACCATTTTACGAACCTATTCAAACTTCCAGCGCAAATCTTCCTAAACATCTCTTAACGTTTCTATCCGCTCGAAGGAATAGCAAACCGGCGAACATTACGAACGTGCACATGGTAGAAATTAAAGGGGGGAATACCCTGTGCGAACGTTCGAAAAGGTGGGATATCTCGAGAATTTTATAAAATGAAAACCGTTCAAGCTGTCGACTTGAAACTTCGCACGTTCGTTCGTACATATTTCGTCATGTTATAGAAATTTTTTCGTACAAATTTACTCAGTAATTACCGAGATATAATATATTTGGTACATAGTAACCAAAGGAGGTGTCGACGTGTGTGGTATGATGGCATCGGGTGGTTTAAAACAAATATACAGACCGTTTTACATTTTGTTCGCAGAAATGTAATCTCGATTCACCTACACCGGTAGCAATTAACCACGTAAACGGAGGGTTAGGTGCATTTGTTCTTTCATTGGGCAACGTCCAAAGGCAGACGAGAAAGAGAGGCGGAGAGAAGAGCGTGTACCTATGTGCCAACCTGAGAAACAATAGAGTCGCGATACTTTTTTCCAGAGAAACGAACCTAGCCGAGGATGTGACTTGTCTAATGTTCCCTGTAATTAAACGAAATAATCGAGTCGCGGAGAGTTACACCGAGCGTCTCAGCGCCGCGTTCTCATTATAATGCCGCGCATTCCTCGTACGAAACGAGTCTTTCTCTCAGCACGTACAGCGTCTACACGGAATACGGAATGCACGAATGATGGATTATACGCGAATTCGCGCTCCGAACACCGCGTTCCACCTCAACCACTACCGTTCCATTTTAATTATTGCTTGTAACCAGCGGCGCGCTCTGCGTTTTAATTATTTCGATCCGGGCTTTAATAGGCGCCGGATACGTCGAACAGAAACAAAAGACTGTGCCGTTATTAAGCAACGCAACGACGTGTTACGGGAGAAAGAAGAAGAAGAGGAAGAAGTGGAGGGGAGGTAGGCTAGGAATGAAAAATTTCGAAGAATTGGACGTCAAATAGGGACTTTCTAATTTTGTTTACGCAAACGTAAATTCCCCGTGGTAATCGAAAATTCTTTCTTCCGGTCGCTTTGCCGTTCCGGGGAAACTGAAGGTTTCTTTGAAAAAATGAACGAAACTTTCGAGGAATGTTATCTATCGCTGGTAAAACTGATCGGAGGAAGATAAATTATTATCGACCAGATAGAGGAATTAGCAGGAAATTTAATATTAACATAATCAAACCTTTGCCCGGTAGTGTACACACATGTTTTTCCTTTATTTCTTTTTACGAAAGAGTCATAAGCAATTTACGTAAGAAGCATGTAGTTAAGGAAAAATCACGCTAGAACACGTCGTTATAATCTCATAAGAGGCCTCAAGGCGCGTTCTCGTGTCACGGTTAACAGAAAAGAGTGTGTGTATATACCTACATGTTCAATATTCTAAGTAAACTGATATCGAGCATTTCTCACGAATTATTTAAAATACTTTTTCCAAATTTTTACTAGCACAGAAAAACTGTCGATTCAAACATTTAAATAATAGTTCGTTCACTTTTATTCCTTCAAGTAATAAAATGAAATAAAAATAAAAAATAAAAAAAAACAAAGAAAAGAAGAACACTGTAAAATTCCTTAACCTTCCACTGAAATAATCTCACAATATAAAACGACAAAATAACCTCTGTAAAAACAACACGCAACATCGCCACTTTTTCAACGCAAAAACAACTACGAGGTCAGATGTTAATTGCAGTGGAGACGCGCGCGTTACGCGTTTGCCTTCTTATTCTGAGCGCAAGTCGCCAAGATAAATTTCTTAATTATACCCGGTCGGTATCCCGGTCGTATCGAGGGGAACAGTGGCCTGGCGCGGCGGCGACGGCGCATTGTACGGAAATCCCCCATAGGTATGGGGTAAACGCGGCGGATAGCCACCGGGCACTTTTTCGACCTCGTGGGAGACGTACATAGTTTCCAGCGGTGAGCGGCGGCGGTTCCGTTTCCTCATACCGTGCATACGTGCCTAACGAGCAACGCGTGGTATAATGCACATATAACGCCATTATAATAAACTTCGTACTCGCTCATTCACGCTAAGTAAGAGCACGGTATTGGCGCATGCACGCTTCCATACACACACACACACACACACATACACCGACGCGTATTCTCTTTCGCACGAATGCACTGAACCGAGAGATGCATACCATTCCTCGCGGAATTTATGCTGAACAGTGTTATTCGTCCGGGACCAGTGTGTGCACGCGCATGCGCAACTGTGTACACGCATGCGCGTGTACGTACGCGCGAACAACTTCGTTCCACGGATACTCCTGTTCTGCGTGTTTCGCGCGCTATTTTTTACGGTTCTTCCCCATGTCCTGTAATATGTATCGAGTAACACTCGTGGTGTAGATTATAGTGAAAATACGACAAACTCGAGTTGTAGTCGTAATAAACATTCGTTTCGATGTTTAAATATAGCTCTGATTTACGAGATCCTATTATGTTGGGTTAGTCTACGTTTTATTTTAAATCACGCGCCATATTTACCTAACCTGTACTCTTAAAGCATTTTCAGGATGGAATATATCAGAAATGAAAACAAGATGGAAGATTATTGAAAAACAAACTAAAAAATTTTTATGCAAAACACATCGAAAAATACAAAGGAAAGTTAACCTTAAAAAAAAAAAAAAATACAAATTAGATACATCTCAACGTGTTTCACCTAATAGAGTGTTAAAGGTAGATTTAACGTACGTACTCGTCAAAATAATAAAGCAAACGTGTTGAAATAAACTGATTCGCTTGATAGCAAGAAAATGAATGTTATTTTTAGAATGAGTGAAGACTAAATAAGGGGGTATGTCTTAGCGAAAAATAATTAAAACAAAGTGACGTGGAGAGAACTTTTTATCTGATGATTGT